CCATGGGATGGATGGGATCCATGGGATCCATGGGATGGATGGGATCCATGGGGTGGGATCCATGGGATGGATGGGATCCATGGGGTGGGATGGGATGAATGGGATCCATGGGATGGGATGGGATCCATGGGGTGGGATCCATGGGATGGATGGGATCCATGGGATTGATGGGATCCATGGGATCCATGGGGTGGGATGGGTTCCATGGGGTGGGATCCATGGGATGAGACCCATGGGGTGGGATGGGATGAATGGGATCCATGGGATGGGATCCATGGGATGGGATGGGATCCATGGGGTGGGATCCATGGGATGGATGGGATCCGTGGGATGGATGGGATCCGTGGGATCTGTGGGGTGGCACGGGCACACCCGTGTGCCAGCCGTGGGGTCTCACCTTGCTTGGCCACCTGTGGCACGGAGCAGGCGCTGGTGTCGGAGCTCAGCACGTCCTGCACCAGGTGGGACCTGGGGGGGGAGAGCACAGTGAGGGGGGTGCTCGTGGTGTCTCCTCCCCAGGGACCCCCAGGGATCCCTGATCCCACCCTGGGACCCTGCAGGGACACCCCAAATTATCACTGGGGACCCTGCAGGGACACCCCAAAAATCACCCTGGGGACCCTGCAGGGACACCCCAAATTCTCACTGGGGACCCTGCAGGGACACCCCAAATTATCACTGGGGACCCTGCAGGGACACCCCAAATTATCACTGGGGACCCTGCAGGGACACCCCAAATTATCACTGGGGACCCTGCAGGGACACCCCAAATTCCCAGCCTGGGCAGTGCCAGCACCCTCTGGGGGGGTTGAACCTTTCCCAGAACCCAGCCCGAGCGTGCCCCGGGTGCTGTCTCCGGTGTCCCCAGTGCTGTCCCCGGTGTCCCTGGTGTCCCCAGTGCTGTCCCCAGTGTCCCCAGTGCTGTCCCTGGTGTCCCCAGTGCTGTCCCCGTTGTCCCCAGTGCTGTCCCCAGTGTCCCTGGTGTCCCCGGTGTCCCCAGTGCTGTCCCCGGTGTCCCCAGTGCTGTCCCCAGTGTCCCCAGTGCTGTCCCCAGTGTCCCCAGTGCTGTCCCCGGTGTCCCCAGTGCTGTCCCCGGTGTCCCCAGTGCTGTCCCCAGTGTCCCCAGTGCTGTCCCCAGTGTCCCCAGTGCTGTCCCCGGTGTCCCCAGTGCTGTCCCCGGTGTCCCCAGTGCTGTCCCCAGTGTCCCCAGTGCTGTCCCCGGTGTCCCCAGTGCTGTCCCCGGTGTCCCCAGTGCTGTCCCCGGTGTCCCCGTACCCGTTGTGGCCGTCGCTGCGGACGCAGGCGCTGCCGTTGCGGCTCCAGGCGCAGTAGGGGTCCCGTGCCAGCACGCAGTCGGTGCAGGACCGGTAGCGCCCGCACTCTGCCAGGGGCAGCTGGGCCACCTGCAGGCGGGACCCTGCGAACAGCAGCTTCTGCCAGGGGAGGGGACAGCGCTGAGGCGGCACTGCGGGTGACGCCGCGGTGACGCCGCCACCCCTGCC